CTCAGGGGTATGATGCTTAGAACTATTTGTGCCTTTTCTGTGTCATCAGAATGACAGCACAGATTCTTGGATCCAGAGTATACTTTTCCCCATGTTTTTATATATGGTATCACCACTTGGATATTTTATTGCGTATGTTGTATGTCTGTATTCATCCATTTATTCAACAAATATTGACAGAGCACCTACAATGTGCCAGGCTCTGTTCTAGGAACTTGGAACACACTAGTAAAAAACAAAACAGATAAAAATCCTGCTTTCATGGACAGCATTTTGGGGAGTGGGGAGGAGATGAAAAATAATAAAAATCCAAAAATAGCATACAACATATGATGGAAATATTATAGAGACAAATATAGCTGGACAAGGAATAGGGACTCTTCAGGGGCACAGGGGTGAGAAAAGAGGGTTATAATTTTAAATATAGTGAGAAAAAAGGTGATAAAGCCCTACAGAAGGTGAAGGAATGAGCAAAATGGCATCTGGGGCAAGGTTCCAGCAGAGGAGTGGGCTGGGCTAAGGCTCTGCAGGGGTCTACTTCAGCTACAGTGAGGAGGTCAGTGTGGCTAGAACAGAGTGGACTGGAGATATTATAGGCTGTATGGACAGGGAGGTCCGGCTGAAGTAAGGTAAGGCTCAATATTATTTCATGTAGGAGCCTGAAGACATTTGTGAAGACCTTGGCTTTTAATTGGAGTAAGGTGGAAAGTCACTGGAGGGTTTTAACCCAGGCTCACTCTGGCCGTTGTGTAGCAAAGTCAAGATGTTTACAGGGAGATCAGCTGGAAGTCTACTGAGATACCTTAGGTGAGCGGTAACAGTGGTTCGAAGCATGGTTTTAGTGCTGGTGGTGGTGAGTGGGCAGGTTTCCATCACAGAGCTCACGAGATTCACTGATGGATTGGATGTGGGTCAAGGAGGACTCCAAGTTGTTTTTGTTCTGTGTAGACAGAAGCCTGGGCTTATTATTGAGAGGGAAAGAAGCAGGATTGGTGAAATCTGTGTTTTTACATAGCAATCTCATGTGTTGTACTCAAGGTCTAATGAAATTCTGGAGGTAAAGGAAAGTGTAAAAATCAGCTTTTTATAAGTAATACAATAAAGGTGACATTGAAGTAGGGGGGCTGTATCTCATTTTTTATACATAAAATGGTTGGTGTAGAAAACATTTTGTAGTGAAGTCTGATGAACCTTATGTGCCTTAACTTCCTCTTGATGAAGAAAGACAAAAGCATAAAATAAAAAAGTATGAAATACATGGATAAAGAGCTAGGCAGGCAAGCCCCAGTTACAGGCACTATCTATCTTCATTATGAATGAGGGCAATCAAGCGTTTACTTTTGCAAAATTATTATTTTTTCATGACTACTTTTGTATTCATTATTGTGATTGAGTAATGTGGATCATGAATATTTAGTCCTAAGAAACAGACAGAACTGCTGATAAAAAGAATGTGTAAATGCTCGTTGAGCTGCTTAATAAATAACTATTTGATGATGATTCTGCAGTATGTTTAAAGGGCAATTCTTCTTCTGTTGCTTTATTTGGCAGAGAGTTCATTTGGGATTCCAAAAATGGATGTAATTTCAAGGGGTGGCCAAAATGTATCAATTAGCCTGACAACTCGGTCTTTTTAACAGATCTATAAATTTCCAATTTCCTTTGCCCTCTTAACCATGGTAAATCATCCTGAACAAGATCATTCTTTTGAACAACAGCTTCCTTATTAGCTGAGATCAATTGAGGTTAGAAAATGAAAAATACACTAGATGCTGAGAACGCTTTATGAAACCACATTTATAGGATGAATATTGAATGAAGATTAATGTGTTATTTTCAGCTTCTAAATCATTGATTTAAAAATTTATTTTCTATATCCCCCTGCTGGATTAAACACTAATATATATTTAGATAGTTTACTTGCTTGCAAGTATTATCTTTCCCTCATTAGTTTTTTTATTAATGGAAGGGAATGATTTTTAATGCAAATGTATCTCGCTTTGCATGCCACGTGTGTTTCTAAAAGTACTGCACATTAAATTGGATAAATTGATTATTGTTCGCATTGAACTATAAATTAATGACTAGATTCTTTGTTTTAATGTTTGATCAGTTTTAATTTGCTCTTTAGATAAATTGCAGGATCCTTAGCACGTCATATGGACCCTATGAGATCTGGACACTGCCTTCTCTTTAAAGGCCATCTCAAGACTGCAATCTCTCTTTTCTCTCCACGCCCCAACTACACTGGTTTTTCTTCAAACACTAATATTTCAGATTAAAAATGTTTGCATCTATTGTTTAAAATTTTAATTCGCCAACATTCTCTGCTTGAAAAAATATAGTACGGGGTGGTGCCTAGGGCTCAAAGGAGTAGTGCGCCAGCCCCATATGCCAGAGGTGGTGGGTTCAAACCCAGCCCCAGCCAAAAACTGCCCCCCCCAAATATATATACTACGTACAGTAATTACTTTCTTAATTAATTGCCTGTCTTTTCTTAACTAGAAAATAGGCTCCAAAAATGTACAGAATTTTCTTTCTCATCACTACTGAATCTCCACAGCTAGAAATGATGAATAAATAAATGAATCAATGGGTAAATTAATGAGGGATTCCTTACCCCAGAACACAAATATCCCTTTTGTAAAACCAGTTAATTTAGTAATCATTAAGTGGGGATTATTCACTATTCAAATTCCAGCTTAAATGCTACTCCTTGAGGACATTCTTCTTTGCCCTCAAGATAAGATTAGTTTCATCTATTATTTGTATTCATAGTTCCTGCACTTCTCCATAGAATTTATTAGAACTTTAACATATAAATTTTATTACTTATGAGATAATTTGCTTAAATTCTGTCCTATTCCCTAAACTGTTAGCTCTGTTAGGACAGAAGACATTTCTATATTATTCTGGATTGTATCCCCAACCCCAGCACATACCTGGGATGTAGAGATGCTCAATAAATATCTGTGGAATGAAACTGTGGATGGGTGGTGGTTAAGCAAATACTGTAACTTTTAGTCCCTCCGTTCTACCTGTCCAATGTGGAACTCCGAGAAAAGAGTAATGGACCACAAAAGAATGTTTTAGTATCCTGGATAATTTCCTGTTACCCCCCCATGGGTTCAATAATGCTGTAGGATCTCTTAAAATTAATGTCTTATAATAACAACCTCTCATTCCACATTATTTAATTAAACAACTACTTGATGAGTTTCTCCTCTGCTTCAATTCATGCAGTGGGAAAGAAAGTCATATAAATGGTGAAAAGACCATTGGTTTTACAACAGAAATATCTCTTCCATTTTTACTGATTGTGTGAATTTGGTCTAGTTTTAAATTTAACTTTGGCTCTTAATCTGTCGAATTGAAATAGCAATACCGATATTGCGGGGTTTCCATAAGGAGTATTAATAATGCACTTAATCATGCATTGCCATATGTTGGTGCTCAAAAGATGGCAGCTGTTGTTACCCACTAGAAGGCAAACTCCTAGAAGGCAGACTACCCTTGCATTCCCTTTACCTTATATGTGGAAGGCACCAATAAAGGTTGTTTAAACTAACTAGCAGTGGGAACCACAGCAGAATGTGCTACTTTTCAACTCTCCAGGGGCTTAAAATCTAATTGAGAAAATAAGTTCCCAAACATGGTCAAGAAATATTTAAATAATAAAGAAATGTAATCCTTATTACAGTTTATAATACATACAAAATTAGAGCAAAATTCATTACAGACCACAAGTTCTTTGGATGGCCAGGCAGGAAATGCTAGGAGGAGGTAGCTGGTTATAGTTACTTGGAAATGATAAGTTCACTTCTGTGTGTATAAGATATATACCAGTAAATCTGTGAAAAATTTTTCATTTCTTTTGCAAACTTTGATTCTGGCTATACATGTACCACTGTGGGATAAAATGGATTAATGTAATGTTTTGTGTGAATAGGATGGCAGACAAAATTGGGTTATTGATCTTGGGTATCAAGATGAATGTATTATAGTAATGGATACTTTTTCTGTCCTTTAACGCGGTTGGCGAATGGTTGCAAATAGGTTCTGATGATGTTGAGTAATGATGCTCAAATAGGGTCGAATGATGCAGAGTCCATGGTAGTCCTTAATAACTAGGACATAGACTCAACTTCATATTCCACTTCTTTGTGACATGCTCAGCACAGGTGTTGAGTTGTATTACATCATCTACAATCATGACATATTGGTGTCCTTTCATCTTAACCAAATTCTTTGCCCGCAGCTCTAATAGATGGGACTGAGTAAGCACGAATAAAAGGATGTTTCTTTCTCTAGGATAGTCTTTTCTTTTTGTTACTTAGGTTAATGACATGTGACATAGATCCAAACACAAGGGTAGTCCCATTTCAGGTTTTTGACACACTGAAAGCTTCAAATTTCTCATCATAGAACTGAAACCAACCACCAAAGGCACTCAGAAGTCCTAATAAGGAAAAGAAATGGCCACCATCTTTCATCCACTAGCCAGGTACAAATCAACCTGCCAAGACTATACAAATGCAGAGACAGGGCTAGTCCGAACGGCAGCTTCTAGCTTGGCCACACACCTACATCATAGTGGCAGACAAATGTCCTGGAAGCTCTGCCGCGGCACGAGGCCTTAACAGAGGCCTGAATACAGAAGCACCACTCTCTCTCTCTCTCTCTCTCTCTCTCTCTCTTTCTCAGGGAATAAGGCACTTTTGTATACCCAGCTAGGAAAAGCGCACTTAAACACACCTGCTTTCGGGCCCTGCATGAGATCCCTGGAACCTTGGTTGGCTTTTCTCTGAGCCATTCACAAACCAGTTCATCCCTGGGCAGGTCTCTAGTGTGGATAAAGCAGCAACTTTGCTGCAGCCTCTCCGTGTCCTTTCAACTTTTCTTTGCGCTCCCTCAACTCCCTGCGGGCCCGGTGGCGCCGAGCGGCCGACGTCCGACTCCGGGGCCCTCCCGGCTCAGCAGCCCGGCCGAGGGGCGGGGCCGAGCGGGCGGCCAGGAAATGCCCAGGAGTGTGTGTCACCTGCCCCCGGACGACTTGCTTCCCAGGAGCACCGCCTTCTCGGCCTGGGCCCCCGGGAGGACTGTCCGGCTCACCTGTCTCCCAGGCGCGGCCCCGGGAGCTCCTGACACGGCCCGGGGAGCGCTCGCCCTCCAACTCCACGGCCATGAGCAAGTTGGGCAAGTTCTTTAAAGGGGGAGGCTCCTCTAAGAGCCGAGCGGCTCCCAACCCCCAGGAGGCCCTGGCCCGCCTGCGGGAGACTGAGGAGATGTTGGGCAAGAAACAAGAGTACCTGGAAAGCCGAATCCAGAGGGAAGTCGCCCTGGCCAAGAAGCACGGCACGCAGAACAAGCGAGGTAGGCTCGGGTCGGGCCCGCGGCGCGAGCTCTCGCCCCTACCTCCTGCCCTTCCCCTGGGGAGGGCCCGCACTCCGGGCCCGCAGGCGGCCAGGTGTCTCCTACAGCCTTCCAGGGAACTGCTACTGATCCCCGGGGCGCTGGCTGGGACCTACTGAGCAAGACACTCCCCCTAGGTGGCCAAGTGCGAGGGGGCTTCCAAGCATCTCAGTTATCAAGATGGACAGTATTTTTAAGCATTATTTAAAAGACTCAAAACTAAAGCAAAAAACAAAACATGCTGAACAAAATATAAAATTTTTAAATAAAGAAAAAATTTGGTATTACTGAGTTTTTTCTCTTGCCATCCGTTCTCCTATTGTTCTGTGCAGCACTTCTTTATTTAAATATCTTTTTTAAAATGTGATATTTTGTTCATCTATTTTTGTATTAATTTTGAGTTTTGAAAAATAGTGCATTAAAGTATTGTTTATCTCAATTGCTGAGTTTTCTGGCACTCCCATAAATTTTGTTCCTGGCTCACCTCTCCTTAGTCCAGCCTTTCTGACTCTAACACTGAACATCAAGTTTTCTGCTCGATGTTTTTATTTTAAGTGATACATTTTAACATGCATTGAAATCTTTAGTGAAACGTATTCCAGAATATTCTGGCTTACCTTTCTCCTCAACTGTTGAAAACTTTGGTTGAATGATGTGCAGTTGTGGCCTTAATAAAAAAGGTGGAGAAATTAAATATTAAATTTTCTATCAGTGACTTTTGGCACACACAAGGAACTTTGAGTCAATAATGATTCTCGGTGCTCCTGTTGCACCTTGTCCTTTGTTCTTGGCCAGAATTGATTAGTTTCTTCAGTATAAAGCTCTCTCTATAGGAATATATCTAAACAGCACCTGTGACACATGTAAAAACCCCAAGAGAAGTTGAAGTGATTTGCTCTTGTAACACTAGGTCAATGGCAGACCCAGAATAGAAGTGGTAATACAGGATTCTGTTTACCTCCAAAGCCCAAATATTTGCATCTTCAAGTTAGTCGTCTTTAGTCGTCATGAAACCTTGGGAAAATTTAGCTCACTCTAAATGATGTGCCATAGTTTAATGCAAGAAAGGAACAATATCTTAAGGAGTTGACCTCGAAAACCTTCCCATAAAAGTGTGCCACATACATTTATGCCTACTTATTGCTGACAATAAAAAGGTCGTTTCGTTCTCTCTGCTACTGCATAAAACTTTTGTCCGGAGCCTGTTTTACAGCTAACTACTAGTTTCTATTTTTATTTTCTGTCTGAAAATACTTTGGCAAGATATCACATGGCAATTTCTGAAGAGAGACCGTGTCATTATGGCTTACTAACGTCATTGCCATCCTGGTTTTTGTCCCTTCCCCTTCTGTTTGATGTGCACTCTGACATTTTCTTAGAGTCTTTTGTAGTTTTTTCTACAGAGGTTTTACTCAGTAAATATTGGTTTAGAAACTCTGAAACAATGAACATCAGCTAGGAAGTGATCAATTTTGATATAAGAACAATTAATGACAAGGGGAGGGGGTGAGCAGAGAGAGGAAGAAGGAGGGAGGAGTGGGGAAGGGATTAGCAGAGAGAGGGAAAGAGGGAGGGGGTGAGGGCTTGGTGTGTGCCACCTGTTTTGGGGGCAAGACATGATTGTACGAGGGATTTTACCTAACAAATGCAATCAGTGAAACTTGGTTTCTTGTACTCTCAATGAATCCCCAACCATAAATTAAGAAAAAAAAATAAAGCTGGCAGCCATTTTGAGATTGAACAAATCATTCAAAAAAAAAAATGTAGATTTGCTTTCAAAGACAAATGTGTAAAGTAATATGGGTTTTGTTGATTGTTTTCATAAATGTTCTATAATTGGCAATGCATTGAAGTGTGTCAGAAGTCAACTTTATAAATAAGACAAAAAATGTAAAGATAATGTTAGTTAAGACCACCAATCCAGCTTCCTTAAATCAGGAAAGCTACCAAGTGCAAATAACCAATTGGTGTTAACACTTGGTCATGAACACTTTGTCCTTGGAAGCTTCCCTGGTATTATCTCAGACCTGGTTCTCTATAGTGGCCCTGGGAGTAAGACCAGGCTAGTAGCATGTGGTCACCTATAATCTGAACTACAAAAGGCATTGGAAATGCTTTCAATATCAGCATCTTCCTAATAAACCAGGTAACTTCTTCTATGAGGTCTTTTTTTTATAACATCACTATAGATGATTATAGGGATTTTGTCTAAATATAATATCTCCATCCAATTTTTATGCATTTGATAGAAAGTAACTTGGTGTTGTAGTTAAGAAACTGGGCTTCAAAGCACACAGCTCTGGTTTGGTTCCCAGCCCCGCCCTGCCACTTAGCAGCTCTGTGACCTTAGATCAGTGGCTTAACCTATATAATTCTCAGTTTTCTAATCTGTATGATAGCATTGATAATGCAGATCCTTGGAGTTGTGAGGATGAATGACATAATTGTGTAAAGCATTTGATAAAGTGCTCTATAAATATCGTATATAATAATGGCGTTTATATTGTATATAATAATGGCATTTCTTAGAAGCTACAGTTGGTTGACTTATTGGCCCAAATTTTGTCTTTTAGAATAACATTAAATAAATATACTCCATCTGTCCCATGAAGCTCTTTCACATATTTGGGGACAGGACAGCAATTAATTGTACAAATCTCCTGTTCCTCAACCTCACCTTTTTCATCTCCCTGGTGATGACTTACTGTGCTGAGGTTTGCTCACCTGGGTTGGGTCGCGGGTGAGGCTAGTGAGACACACGTGTGACCCTGAGAGTCAGTGTTCCCGTACATTTAGTGCCCCACGTGCCTTATTTCCAGGAACTCAAGTCTGGGTTGTGTTGCTTTCTTTATTTGGGGCTGAACACCAACTCCCAATATGTTATTATGTGAAAATGGGTGGATCTAGTCTGGGGTTGTCAACAGGCCTCAAGCTATGAGGAGCTTGGACTTGGAGAGATGAAAGGTTGATACAGAGTGAAGGCAAATTTGGCCCAAACCTCTACCTGCTATCATTACACATGATTCCAGAAAATCGGGTGCAGATTCCCTTATACCTCTTCATTTGGAATCTGTGTGGTGAAAAGAGGCTTCAAGGCAGGGAGTCCTCCAAGGGAGGGCCACAGCCCAGGCTGTATACTGGCAAGGATGAATTTGCTTTCAGACTCATGACATAGACCTTGGTCTTCTTTGTGCACAATCCCACTGGGCTAAGGTCCAGTAGGAGGAACCTCCTCAGGTTCTTGATTTCCTTTTTATTATACTTGTCACAGAGCTTATTTTACAGCCCTCAAACACTGGGGACTAGAAGGACATCCGTGTAAGAAGGACCACAACAGAGTCAACTAGTTATGCCAAGCTGGTGAGGGCAAAAGCAAGGCATAGGTAAGATGAGACGGCCATAGACGGCAGGACCCTGATGGAAGTTCCCCTGGGAGAGATAACTGATCTGGTGACCTCCTTTCTTAAAAGAGTTTCTCAAAATGTGGTCTTTAAATCACTTGCACCAACTTTCTTTCTGGACGCTTATTAGAATCTACACTCATAAGTCCCCACTGAAGATTCTTATTTAGTAGGTTGAGTGGAGGTTCCAGAAATTTGAATAAGTAACTCAATGATTCTGAGCCCCAGTACACTTTGAGAACCTACGATGTATTATTCAATGAGGTTTTGAATTGGATGGGATTACTCTCTGCTGTTTTCCTCCCACACCCATTCCTGTTGCTTCTGCTCTCCTCCTTCATCACTCAGATACCTAGATGTGAAATCTCTACCCACCTTCCCCTGTGTGACCCCTGCAGAAGCATGTGGGGAGCTTCCTGCAGGTCCTCAGTAGCCACCTGCCTTAGGTCTCTTTAGGAAAGTTCGTACAGTTCATACAGTACTGTAACTCACACTCGTTAGGAGGGGACTCAGACTTCTCCAAATTCAATCTAGAACTAGGTATCCTAACACATAGTTGCCTTTGATGATTTATTTATTTTGTACCATACTCAGTATTCTGAGCCTGGAGGAAAAAAAAATTATCCCTGGAGCATTAACAACCAATACCTAGGCCAGGTCCTAACTTTCCTACCCTTCATTCCTCTCTTCAAGAAAAAAATAAATCAATGGAAATGTGATTCTTTCTTCAACCTCCACCTCATTTTCCCTCTTTCCTCTTAGAAACTTCTTTTGGGCTTTTACCCTCCCTACGAGGGAACCTAAAACATCTGCCCTGTTCACTTAAGCTGTTGTTTTAAATTTTCTCCTTTTCCCACCATCTCTTGCCCTCCTCTGATCCATGACGAGGATCCTCTATGGACTCAGCACCCTCACTGACTCACTTAGGTACTGACCAGCACAAAGTGTCCTGGGTTTGTCATCTCTTTTTGTTCTCTTAATTCAATTTCAGTTTGCATATGCTTTTCCAGATGACCTTCCCACTTGCTTTTCTCCCATTGTATTTGGAAAGAGTTAAAACTCCCAGCAAGATTGACTCACCCCCTTATTGAGATCAATATGTTGAGTTGCATTTAGTATTTTACATTCATTACTCTTAAACGTCACCTTAAGTTGTCTTAGAATAAATATTTTTAATTTCCATTTTTTTTAATATGAGCTATTTCTCTTTTAGTTGAATTAGCCACAGATTTGATCCATAGTCTTTATTGTTGTAAATGTCTTTGTTAAATTATTTAATAAGATGGAACCAAGGACTGAACTGTGGCATGCCACTAGAGACTTCATTCCGGGATGGCTCCCACATGATGACAACAATGTTTCATCTGAGATTCAGCTAAGGAATGACCAGCACTCAAAGAGTTCAGTTATTCATCTAGTCATAAATACACTTGATCCGCATTCCTAACCCATATTATATCTCCGACTTTTCCTCCTTTCTTCAACAAGGCCACAGTATGCCCTGTGGAAAACCAAAATCCCAAAACCTAACTATATTCACATACTTGGGCTTTCCAAATG